AACCTCAACGGCTTCGGAACGAGTATTTTCTCGTGGGCGCCAACTGCTGAGCTTCACTCGCAATCGCTTGAACGGTGTGTCCATCCGGCGCTTCCTCTGCCTCGGCGACTGGAGTCGCAAGGATCTTGTTGGTGATGACATCTTTTTAACGGCGGTGAAGCAGAATATGGGGTTGGATAAGGGCAAGGGCAAGGACACTAGCTAGTTACGATCTGAGGACAATGATTTCTGTATCCATTCATGAACAATATAGTATACCCTTTGCGCCAAATGAGTTGTACCTTGAGGACATATCTTTGAAAGGTTGTTGGGAGAGGTACGGAGGTACATACCTTTCCTATACCTCTGGCAGGGTAAAGGTATTACCTCTTGAAGGGTAAGGGTACCAGAGGTAGAGGTGGAGGTACAGTGATTATTACCTCTACCTCTACCCGTGGTGAACCTTAGGTGGACTCGATCTCGAGAGGGAGGTGGAGGGAATTTGCACTGGCCTCAGCTGCAATGGTGAAGCGCTTGGGAAGTTTGCGCTCCCACATTGGCTTACAACGCAAGCGGAGGGGATCGTCAAATACTGGTGCAGGGGTTCGAACCGGCGTAGGGGGGGTTGGTTTCGTGGCTGTAGAGGTCGGGTCCACAGCCACCGGCATCTCGGCAATGACGCACACAGGTGGAAATGGTACGGACTTTGCGTATGCTACAACAATTGTTGGCGTGCGTCATCGCTATTTTTAGCCAACTCCCGGGGTGCGTCTATCGTTTCAAGTGATGCAAGAGTTGTATTGTCAGACTCATTACACAAGACATTGAAACGATTAGGGGACACAACAGAGGGCGCACCGCTCACTCTGCGCGGGGGGGGGAAAATCCTCCTGGGCGACTGCAGCTGCATGTTCCGCAACAACCTCGGCAGAGGCCAAGCGGGCGACAAGCTCGTCAAGCATGTCAGCACCAAGCTGCTGGATGACCTCGTCCAGCACATCGACAGTGTGGACATCAACGGGGGTGGTGCAGTCGCGTGCAAAGTGGTTCGGGTCTCCGCACCGAGGGGCGTTCCTGGCCCGAGTACGGTCCACATCCATAGGGACAGGAGGGGGGAGAGAAGGTGGAGCGACCCTCTGCGGTGGTGGTGCAGGCACCGCGAGCGCAGGAACCATCTGAGCACGGCCAGGCGCAACCGAGAGACGGCCAGTTGACCCAGAAGCGGCAGCCTTTGCTCGGAGGAGCGACTCGTACTGGCGGTATGCGCGGAGCCGCCAGGCGGTGTAGTCGCGCAGGTCAGGGGGTCGCTGGACCCGGTGATGGCGAGATTTATTGCCGGGTCGAGCCCAGTCCGGTACTTGGTGACCTTGATGAGCTCATCGTCGAAGCCAGCGAGGTCGACGAGGTCTTCGAAGTCGTCCGTGTAGCGGAAGACGTCGCGGGAGCCCATGAAGTACTGACGGGACTCGAGTTTCTGCCGGGCATGGTCCTGCTCGTTCTCCTCGACAAAGCGGAGGCGGAACTCAGCGACAAAGGCGGCCCAGGTGGGAAAGGGGAACGTGGGTTTGGCCTCGTGCCGTTCTGCCCAGCGCTGCGCAGAATCCCTTGCCATAAAGGACAAGGTGAAGCGGACGACCTTCACCTCGGAGGGCTTGCCACCTTCGGTGAATGCCTCGGAGAGGAGGCGGACATAGGACCCGACCGCATGGAGGAATGCCCGACCCTGAGTCCGGTCGCCGTCAAAGACGAACGGGGGGTTCGGTCGCAGGACCGATTTTACGCCAGGAACAATGTTGGCGAATATTCCTGAACCCGGGTCCGGAGCTGGGGCAGCAGGGGACGGGGCAGGGGAAGGCACTGGCTGGGGAGGGGAGGTATCAAGAAAGGCCACAAGGCGATCGAGGATCACCTCAATCCGGGTCATGCGCTCCTCGGTGGTGCCAGCAGCAGCAGCAGCAGCAGCGGGGTCAGCCATGACGGGATCGAGGGGAGGGGAGGAGGGGGCAAGATTCGAGCTGGGTGAGGCGGGAGCGCTATCAGAGCGTTCCGAGCCTAGCAGGCCAAAGGTCGGAATCTTGACCGGTTAATCCCTAGAGAGAGTTTCTTCTGCTGTAAGGGCAACCTCGAGGCCCGAGAATACTCAAGAGTCCTAGCGAGGGGAATCCGAAGTATATTAATAATGTACACTAGAATACAGGAAAGCATAACGCACCTAGCGAGGGGAATCCGAAGAGAAGAAACTCTGAGGATTCCCACGCTAGGTCGGGAGTCTAAATACGTACTATACAGGTGCATGTGACCGGAGTGATCGGCAGAGATCCCGGGCTCGGTCACAAGCGGAATGCCAACGGGAGATACCGGAGGGCTTAAAGGGGCGTCGGGAGGGGGTTCCCCTGACAACCAGCTACTGCTTCGGGCGCATCACCAAGTGCTAGCGACTACCCAAATCTCGGCAAGGCCAAGCCTATCCGACTTGGTGCTGGCTGATCTGGATGCCGGTGGAAGCGGCCATGTCGGGTGTTATGATTCGGGTTGGCACGACCTGTTCATTTCCTAATCCAGAACCCCCCGACACCCATACACCATCAAACATTGCCGGGTTAATCATCGGATTAATCCTGAAAGACATCGAAACGAACCACGAAGACCTCGCGAGATATTCGAGGAATAACCCGCCGACGAAATACGAAACGATGGAGTTTCAAATAACCCCTCTGGTTATCCGAAACCCCCCACTCTCCTTAACGCACAAACCGACATCCGACACGTCGCACACCCTAGGTGTCTGATTACCCTTCAATTTTCCCTGCCGACCGACAGAGGATAAATTGAACCCAGTAACTAATTCGATCAAACCCCTGGATACCAAAGTAGTATAAAAACTCAGGAGAATCTACCTGTACATTAGATTCTACCTCGTCTAATTCCAGCACTACTTTGGCCTGGCTTACACTGAGCGTCTTCTCACCTGGCTCTGGCTTTCACACGTCTCTATCATCTCTGCGCCTTGGCACCATACCATGTCTGGTTCCTTGGCTGTTATCACTCTGCCTTTGGGGTGTTCACTATCCCTCCTCGCATCAACTACGCGTGACCTCCTGTTTGTACGGTTGAACTGAACGTACTCGCTTTGTTACATCCATGCACAGACAGCCAGATACCTCCGGTTCAAGATCGACCTCCAGGTCTACCGGTTTTGGAAACTCGGTATCACTGTCTCAGACCCCACCCACGTCTCCTGGAGTCGACCCATCAACATCAGTCACGTACCGGTCACATACTGGTCACACCGGTGACCAACCAGTCGAACACTCGACTCTGAGAATGCCACGTCTCTCAGAGTCAACCCATCGACACTGGTCACACACCGGTCACATACCAGTCACACCGGTCACCTATCGGTCAAACCCTCAACTCTGATTCACCAAGAACACCACTCCATCTTGGAACATCCCAGACATCGTTCTGGAGTCCTGCTCTGTCACACCGGTCACACCAGTGACCCGCCGGTCAGACCCTCGACTCTGGTTCACCAAGAACACCACTCCATCTTGGAACACTATCATGGCATACCAGACATTGCTCTGTAGTCTTGTCCACACCATTCCACCCCAGAAGCCCTACGACAAGTCAAGACCTCCACTGGTAGACCACCAGTGCACCGGTACCGGACCACTCCGGCACCGGTGGCCCCAGAAGTTTATTCATGAGATCTTATGGTGTCTTAATTGCACCATAGTACCACCTGGCCCTCAGCCATGTGCTACTAGGACTTCTTTCTTATTGTCTTATTGTCTTGTTATCTTTCCTCTGTCCTCTCTGTTATTGTGTTCAAACTTCTAACCCCATTTGGAACTTTGTCTTATTGTTACTTCCACATGCTCCCATACTTATCCCCTTTACATACTACACTAAGCCTCACAGTATTTAATCACCTAGCATAGTCTCTGTTCTTCAGTTTGATTATAAACGTTGTTTCACCCTTCCTGTGGAACAATCTGAGTCACCGGTCTACCGGTTGCACTTCCCATCCCCTTCCGCTCATCTGGGCTATAAATAGCACACTTGCCTTAGTCACACTGTGGCAAGTGCTGCTCCGGTCCGTTGAGCTTCCCTGGACCTGCCTTCGTCCTCCCGGACCTAGGCGGTGCAGTCACCCCTCGTCCCTAAGAGGTGCTGCACTCGTCCAGTTCACTCCGGTCAACTCCACTCGACCTCCGGTAGCTCCGGTCTCCGGACAATGGGTTATACACTTGCCTGTCACCTCCCTGTGGCACTGCACTTGTCCCATTTGCATTGGACACTCCGGTCCCTGTCCGACTACTCCAATCTGTCCTGCGGTCCCAAGGCAGTACATTCGCCCTTAACCCCCTGTGGCGTTGTGTTAGTCAGCCCGCCGGTCGCCAACCTCTGGTCCGACCTCTGGTACTGTCTGGTCGGTCCGCAGCCTCGACCCGGAGGCTGTCCGATCGTTCAGCTGGCCTATATCCAATCCCCCTCGGGCTGGGATATAACACGCTTGAGGGATACTGAGTATGCTAAGGGGTTTATGTAGTTTTAGGACTTTTCTCTTAATATATCAAACAATTGAATAGAAACCATGCGGAAAACCCAGAGTTATCCCGACATTGGACTTATTCATATGACTTATCCGATGGTTGTCACGGATAAGTGAAACGGCCTTGTGGATATGTCAGGGGCCAGGGTTAGGGCGTAGAGTTGCTCCACAGGTTTAGGCTTGGCGTTGACTTGACGAGAAGTCCCTCCGCCGCCGTCCGCCTAGGGGCGGAGCGGAGCGGAGTGAACCAAACTGGCGGAAGGCTGCGGAAGGCCTTGGTGATCACAGATATAACAGCTACTCCAGTACTCAACTGTGGGATCCCAGGTCACCTTATTACACCTTGGCCCCTCAAGGCCAGGCACGAATGGGTCTCATCATGCTGATTTTGACTCCAGTATGAAAAGTGATAGTTTTTCTGAAGCATCACTAACAAGTTATATATAAACGCAGACAAAACAAGTGGACAAACTGGGAATTGAACCCAGCACCTCCCGCAGACAGATTACATAATCAGTATTGCGAAGCGGGCGCGATAACCAACTACACTATTTGCCCATGTCTTGTGATGAGTATTAGGGTTGAATAGGAAGTCTACTGTGGTAAACGAAACCATTATAAAGGCAATCTCAAGACCCAAGAAATATAATACTCAAGAGTCAAGGGGAATCCAAGGTTATAAAAGAAAGCCTAACACACCTAGCTAGAAAAGGAAACTCTGAGGATCTGTTGCAGAGCAGGTGTTATATCTGTGTGCGATGAAGGTTGAACAAGCCACCAAGGCTCTCCGCAGCCTTACACCGGTTCAATCCACTCTGCTCCGCTCTGCCACTGGGTGGAAGGTGATGGAAGGACTTCTCGCAAATCAGCATGCCAAGACAACACTTGTGGAGCAACACACCCCAACCCTGGTCCCTGTCATATCGAGATGGTCAATTGACTTATCCTTGACTTCCATCAGAGAAGTCGTATGGTTAAGTCCACGTGTCGGGGATAACTGCATGGTTTCCACACTTCTTTATTATATATTTAGATAAAAACTTAAAAACTATACAAACATTCCTTTGCTATCCTTCTGCGAAGAGCTCCACGCACTCCAACTTCTCTGGCACACTTGCAGAAGTCACCTTTCCCTACCCCACTGCCTCCGTCTGTTAATACCGTGCAGTAAGACTCGCACAGCACCTCTGTCACGTAGTCTCAACCAATTGCTCAGTCTGTTCCACTCTGGTGCCAATGCAGACTCGGACCTTCTGGTCAATTGGCCCCATATCCCCTGCTCGGATATAACAGGTCCATGACACCTTCATGACCAGCTGCCATAGCCTCTTCTATAGTATTATGACCAGTAACAGGTCCTTGATGCATGGTAGACTGGGAGAAGAAGGCCATGCTTCCTTGCCCAATTGTTGGTGTTTAAAGGAGTGTTTATGCTTGTCTAATCGGGCGCGCGTAACCTTCTTTCTGCTCCAGCAGAGCCCCCAAACAGCTGTCCATCTGGTGCTGGAGAATCAGACCGTGTCTGATTCATCTGAGCAGGGATAGTTGCTTGGTCCGCCAAGCGCGCGCTTGGATCTGCCCCGTCGGGTTGAGATGCCACGCGGCAACTGGAGGCCCGAGTGAACAATAAAGAGCCGCACTCTTTTGTCTTCGTCCCCACGCAACACCTTGCATGGGCCCACCAGCTTCTGTATTTAGAGTGCGCGAAGAGGAGGAAGCTCCCCATCTTCCTCCGTTCCTCTTTCGCGCGCTCTCAGTACGTCCACATCGTAGCTTCTGTGGCGCTGATACTAATCTTGGGACACCTGTCTGGTTTAGTATTATTCCGAAGCACCACACTACGCCGAGACCAACAGTTCAAAGTGTACCACTTACTGTTGTTTCTGCCAGGTATGTTCCCATGTGGGCGTACTTGAACACAGCGTTGACAGGGACTTATGTCTAGTTGATTAGCTACACCTCGGTGATCGTGAACGACTGAGCCGCCGCTCCTCACTTCTTGCTGCTTCACGCGTTGCTAGGTGCTTCCTCGCCGTTCACTTTGCATTGAGCTCTTGAGCTAATGCCTCGCGCGTCGCTAGATATCCGATTTTTTGCGTAATCCCCTCGACAATTCCTCCACACTTGTCTCCCATCGCTTCACTCAACTCCATACAATGCAAGATGCCCCTGCTTCCACCAAGGTGGCTCGTGCTGAGGCCAAGGTCGACGCCTTCAAAGCAAGCACGCTCTCCCGCATGGCAATCACCCTCGAGCTTGCCGCGCTCTTCACGGAACCCGACTCGCCACTTACAGCTGGCCACTCCACCATCCCTCTCTCAGCTGCTCAGCTGGAGGCCCTCATGGCCCCATACACCGACGATTGCGATCAGTTTACTCAGGACCAGACCACTGCCAAGGCTCGAGGCAAGAAGCGCAGCCATGCCGAGGCAGGTGGCGCTTCCGCCGGCGCCAGCAGTGACGGCAACAGTGATGAACCCGAGCTCTCTGACAACGACGATGACCTGGAACGCCCGTCCAAGCGGCGCGCCCTTGACGAGTCCGAGTTTCCGTGGGACAAGCACGACACCCTTGCTCTCGACCCTCTTCGCCCCAATTTGGCCGAAACCGTTCGCCTCCTCGGTATCTATGCCGTCGACCTCCGGGGTACCGCTTGCTCCATCATTAACCGGACTCACATCGCTTTCCCGGACTCCGGCTGGCTCAAACTCATCTCCAACAAGCCCCTTGACTTCGATGTCATCCTCACGTCCATGTTCAGTGTCTCGCCGAGCGCCGCGCACACGGAAACAATTGGCAACGTTGAACTCACGTTCAACGACTCCTCCGCATCCACCAGAGTCACCCGCTGTGTCACCACTCAGGCCGAGTGGACCATCTGCTGGCTCCGTGCGGTACAGGCGATGCTCTTTGTCTTCCCCCATCTATCCCCGCAACTCGACATTTACGGCCATTACATTCTGGCGAAGTTTGTTTCCATCCACGACACTCAGCACCACCGCATCATCAACTTTGATAAGGCATGCAGGCTGCACGCGCGGATGTCGGGCTCGACCAGCTCCATCAGTTCACAGATCTCGAAACCATGCACCTCAACCCCCTCGGGCGCCTCGCCATGGAAGGCAACACCAGCACCAGCGAGGACCGGTCCGGGACCTGTGACTCGCGCGACTCCAGCCGCGCCAGCGGTTCGAAGCCAAAGGCTCCCGCCAAATCCACGGAACCGTGCCGCCTGTGGAACTCCGACAGCTGCAGGCGGTCAGACGGCGACTACCGAAACCTCCATATCTGCTCCCGGTGCCGTGCCGTAAAAATCACTGCGTGTCCGACTGCACCACCAAAGCGTGATCCTGCTTCCTCCGTCGTTCCCGACGTCGCCGCCGACTGCACTCTGTCCCACTTCCTTTTCTTTCAACCCCCTCGATTCGCGCTGGGGGCAATCAAAAAATGATCTTCACACTCTCCCCCGGTTCTTGCCAGCCTCGCGACAGGAAGGCCTGGACCATCGCCAAGCTCGTTCACGAACGCGCTATCGTGCTTGGATATGCAATTGACAAATCATCCAACCTCACTTACACTTCCGCACTCAACTCCTACATCAACTTCTGCACAATGCACGACCTATCCATCGACCCAACGGAGGACACAATGTCCTTCTTCGTCATCTATATGTGCCACCACATCAATCCTAAGTCTGTCGACTCCTATCTCTCAGGCATTTGCAACCAGCTGGAATCTGCCTTCCTGCACGTTCGCGCCTGTGCGAAAGTCCCCCTTGGTTCGGAATACGCTCAGAGGGGGCATGTGATTGTTTGGCCAGGGCACGAAGCGAAAACAGCCGCTGGCCTCCGCGGATCTACTCACAGTCGAGCGCACCTACACGGCACAGCCTGCACTCTCGCACGACGACAAGCTGTTCGTCGCCATGCTATTTACCGGATTTGACGGCTTGTTACGCCTTGGCGAGCTGGCGTGGCCCGACAATGTCAACTTCCGGAACTGGAAGAAGGTCACCCACAGGGCCACCCTCGTTTTCTCCACTGGCGACACGACGGCAGGGTTTTTCTTGCCTGGACACAAAGCCGACAAATTCTTTGAAGGCAATCAAATCATCATCTCATCTCGAGCCAACGCGGAACTCGACACCGTGGCGAAACTTCGGCGCTACATCCCCTCTCGCTGTAGAAGAAGGGGTTGTTCCCCAGAGGGAACTAGAGGTGCGTGGTCGTGCCGGGTAGGTTGATGTACGAGTGCCGAGGATTGCGAGGGCCCGAGAGCGAGATCTGGAGGAAGGGTAGACAGAGATATGAACTTAGAAGAGGGAAAACTTAGCTCAGAGGGATGTGGGAGGCTCAGAAATGCGGAGGAAGGTAACTCAGAAAAGGGATTGTGGTGGTGGGAAGCAAGAGGCGAACCCCTGTACATGACAGCGGTGGCTACTTAAATACCGACGGTCAACAATCGGTGCAAATATAGGTAAAGAGTCCATAGGTATAGTGTGCCTCCGCTAGAGCGAAACCCTCGCCGTCGAACCAACCAGGAGCTACGCAAATACGGAATAGGGAGAGCACGTTGCGCCGCTCAACGGTGACTTGTGGGGGCCCAGGCCACAGTCGGCTCAATCCCCGGTGTAGTCCGAGAAAGCTGACAACTTGGATATCCACTCGTCGCGTTGGCGTGCGTAGGAGGAGGGAGGAGATTGTCTGTGAGGAGAGATCAGATAAGTAGGGAAACGAGTGTGAGGGTGTAAGCATGAGGTCAGAAACATATCAACCGAGAACGAATATTTGTTGCCACCGTTGGAGACTCAATGGTGAAGCGTTGGAGTGGATGTGAAGGAGGGTGAGTAACGCTCGAGGAATTCGAGGATGTCGGAGGCGCAGATATGTAGTCCTCGCACTGACACGCTGGATGGGTTCTTCAGCACGCACGGAATAAAACTCGACGCGGTCAGGTGAGCGTGATTGCTGGGGTTGTGGAATACCCGCAATGTCCAATGGCGATGTGCCAGCCAGGTGGCACTTCCACATCGCGACCGCCTTTTCCCTCATCATCCAGCCCTCTGGGTCTGCAAGAATGGCCAGATCCTGACTCGCTCCTGGTTCATCACCCGCCTCCGCGTCCATTTCGGCAAAGATGTCGCGGGACAGTCCATGCGCGCCGGCGGTGCAACCTCGCTTGCCCAGGCCGGAGTCCCCCCTCACCAAATTCAGGCCATCGGCCGTTGGGCATCCAACGCCTTCCAGATCTATATGCGCAAGAATCCCACGCTATTGCAGTTGATGCTATTCGGTGGTCGATCTGCCCACGACGGACCTGCTCCCAAGGAGCATCCCATCTTCCCTCAACCATCAGCTTAATTATACCATTCTTCCCTTTCCCCCTCCTCTCTTCCCTTTCTCCACGTCTCCTTTCCATCGTCTCAATTTCCCATCTCCATCTCCCACTCTACTCAATTTCCTCATCTCCATCTCCCACTCTACTTATTGCCAAAAAAACCAAAAAAAAATCACAAACTAGGGATTACCCTTTTCTCCGCCTCGCTCCGCTCTCCTCCC